TTATCTTATGTGGAACTATCTAAGTTGGTAGTTCCACCCCCTCAACAGTTACTTCAAGTGTTCTCGCTCATACAGGGCAATTGATCTGTTCTCATAACTTTTAAGTACAGAAGCCAATCCAATGCTTAAGCCATGGTATACAGAAAATCCTATATCCAGTTCAACATGTCACTAACCTATTACACTGAGCAGCTGGGTCCACTCAAATACCCAAGAGACCTCACCTCAAACTAGTATAAATTAAGCTATTGGTTTCAAGAACTGTGCTCCTACAGGGTAAAATATTGAAAGCATGGTGTTGCATTTTGTATTACTGTACAACATTCACTTGTTACTTCAGCCCTTACTCTTTCTCTCATTCTCCTTTATGAAAGTTCAAGCGTTCAGTGCTGACAATCTCTTGTACAAGTTTCATTAACAAAGACCTCAGCATCTCAGTTATAAATGAACGTATTAATTCTGCATTAAAACAACAGCAACACCTGAGTGTTACGGGACACAGGTCTCTGATGAGACTGTTAGTGAAGATCAAAAGGCAACACATCCTGAAATCTGTGTGAGGCGGCGTGTTGCATTGGGATCTGCGCAGATACGCACAACAGGATTTATAAAGAAATCATAAGCTGACTGTATGTTTGGTTAAGCATCGGCTACGGCACGAGAGCCTAAGCAAAAAGCTCCTCCGCATCCGATACGGTGAGGGGGGCTGGCTGGAAGGTTTCCGAAGCAGCGCACCGCTACCTGCTGAAAGAGTGGGGCAACAACTCCAGTTCCAAGCCACCACCACTGCTCTTCGGGACCGAAAACCTGCAGAGCTCGGGACGCGCCGCCCGCAACGCCCGCGGGAGCGGCACAAGCCCGGCAGCGCCGCTCCCCGGCTGGGTCCTAGCGCCGGGCCGGCTCCGCGACAGAGCCCGCGCCCAGCCCCGGCGGCTCGGGGCCCTCCGCAGCGCCGCCTCCCGCGGCCGGCAGCAGCCGGAGCCGGCGGCGGGGCCGGGCCAGGGCCGAGGGGAGCGGCGGGGGCCGGCTCGGCGCGGAGGAGGCGGGGAGGGGGCGGGACTCACGTACTCTGCACCTGCAGGTCCATCTCGCGCATCTCGGTGAACCTGTCGCGGAGATCCATGGGAAGCTGCTCGATCACTGCGGGCACACGGAGGGGGGGGGAGGAGGGGGGAGGCCGGTCAGGCAGGCAGGCTCCCGCCGCCGTGGGGGAGGGGGGGCGCCGCCGCTTCGCCGTTCGCGGCTCCCCTCCTCCCCGCTCCTCTCTTCTTCCTCCCTCCCGCTCCCGGCCGCTCGCCCCCGGCCCGCAGCCACTCACTCTCCAGGTAGTCCTCCAGATACAGCATGGCGGCGGCCGGGCCAGCGCCCAGGGGCTTCTCGCTCGCGGGGGCTCGTCCCTTCCAAGATGGCGCCGCCGCCAACAGCACCCGCCGCCCGACTCCGCGAAAACAACATTGGCGGCTGACGGCGCTCGCCCCGGCCGCGCCGCGATTGGCTGCCCGCGGCCGTGACGCGCTGCCCCCCCGCCCCGCGGCATCACGGGAAATGTAGTCTTACCCCCTCCCGCCATGTCAGCCCTCCCCTGAGGCGCGGGGGCGGGTAACGGTCCGGTTTCCGTGACGGGCGCTTCTCCGCAAAGTCCCCTTTCAGCCCTCGCTTTTTAGGGCACAATGTAAAAGTGTCTCCTCAGGCTGCTCCGAAGTTCCTCAGGAAGCCAGCTCCGAGCGGAGCATCACAAGCGCAGCTAAAGAGAGAAAAACTTGCAACTTTTTTAAGCACGTTTTATATTTTTTCGGTGTTTATTCGTTCCTTGAAATGCATATAGCTGGCAGTGTCGCATAAAAAAGCACAACAAATGACAGAGAAGGGGAACAAATCTCTAATTTAGGTCTTCTCATGAGGGAGCCAGTGTGAAAAATGCTGCCCTGCTTCGCATCCCACAGTAACACGGGCACTAACAACTCTAAGTATACCACAACAGAAGCTTCACTGGGCTTCAGAATTGCTACTTACACTAGGAAACACAAGCATATAATAAAGATTGCAACCCAATCACAATACCTGCTGTAGTTTACTTTAAAATGTTCGGGGCTGAAGTTTGTCTTGCGGTTTGAATCCCTCATACACTTGATTCATTACTGCTTTATCATTATTTTATCAGTCTTCTTATGGACTAATGCATAGAAGAAACTGATTGCTTTTATCCAGAAACGCTTACAGTATAACTTGGTGGTTTTTGACTGGGGGAAAGGAATTTTTAGGGACTGCGTGATGTCAGGTGTGGGTGCAGAGAACGTAAGAGTTGGCATAGCAGAACAGACTCGTTTTTAATATGCTCTTTGTCTCATTTTTGTGTTGCCATCTGTGCCATGGGCATCTAAGCAAAGAAAGAAAGTACATGTTTAGGCCAGGTCTGAGTAAAAACCTATAAAAGATGTTTTTGAGTGTCAGGACTAAAGGAAAACCGCATCCTATTGGCAGTTTGTAAATTCATACGTTGTGAGTGATGAGCTAAGGGTGACTGAATTTTGGGAAGTGAAGCATAAATTCTGCCTGTAGCCTTTATGAAGACTGATGTTAGTTATGTCTCAAATACATCACCTGAGCATTTATTTATTTAATTTATATATCATTATAGATGAAAAAAATTTGACAATAACTATTAACTTTGCAAAAAAAAAAAATGGCAGTGCCTAAGTGGTCACCTTCCATCATTAGCCATTTCGTCTGTACTGCTAGAACAGTTTTGTACATACCAATTAACAATTTTTAGAGGTAATTAAGCTAACTTCCTATCCATCAGAAGCGTTAGTTGAAAGAATCTATATACTATTGCTCATACAGATCAGTCTTTAATGTATAACTTTTGACACACTGGTGTAGCAATAATAATAGTTTTGAAATTTTGTGTGAGAAATTGCTTGGCCACATTTTGTTCTGTAAGAAACAAAGGCTCTGGTTCTTCCTGAGAAGATGAATACCTGCACTTTTATCCTAGTGTTTGAAGTGGTAAGAGAGCTCAGTCCATACAAAAGCACAGCTAAAGTAATCACACCTTGTATTCATTAGGAGGAAAGACAGAGGAATTCTTTTTTTTTTTTGGCTTTAGTGATTTTTAAAGAAAAATGTACACACTTCTGTAGTAGACATGGGTGTGTACGTATATAATGCAGCAGAGGTTAAAGAGAACAATATCGTACAAAAATACTGTACAAAAAAGACTCCATCATTAGAACTACAACTGAAGAACAGTCACATGATTAAATTCTTACCATTTGCGTCACAACCAAAAGCCTAGGACAACCAGGATGTTGGGACCTCTTATGCTCCGGTTTTCATGCCTGGGTTTGCCATGTGCTCATCTTTGCAAGCTTTGGGAATAGCTAGCAAAATCATTACTGAGGGCTATTGTGCAAGGATATTTTCATCTAGTTCCAGCCTGCTATGGTGCCCAGATCTAAGAAATGCAGTTCTTGTGGCTGTGCCTCAGTCCCTTTAGTAGCAGTGTGTGCCCTGTCCACATTAGTGGAAAGGGAAAATGGGACTTGGGTTTGCCAACGGAATGGCAGACAAAATTCTAGTGGGGCTGACGTCTGCTGTCTTCAAAGTCTGAGTCCCTCCCTTTATGTTTCATGGTTTATTGAAATATGTGAGAGGCTCTTATAGAAATAGGAAGCTTCTTTTAAAAATGTTCATCATACTAATTTACAACAAGGGATGAGAGGGGATTAAGTAGCAGAAGTACAAGTGAAAATAGAATTTAACTTTGTTCAATATCTGTTCAGAGGCAAACAGGTACTTAATTTATCTGCCTGCATCTCCTGTAGTCTTCAGTATCTTTTCTTTTTCTTTTTCTTTTTTTTTTTTTTTCTTTTTTTTTTTAACGTGGAGAATTGGTCACATTTTCTATTTCTGAAAATGTTAATTCATATGGTATAGCTAAATGTGTAGCCACACAAAATTCAGCAGGATCATGTGTAAAAGTGCACCTCTTCAGGCCAGACTGATGAAACAGAGTTTAAACTGACATTTTAAGAAGCGATTAGCTACCCAGGTCATACAAAAGAGGCTCTTTTTGTAATGGAAATCTTCCTGTTGTGTATAAATGTAAAGAATTAACTCTATTGATTAACCTAACTTTTCGAACAGCCTAATTAGAACAGCTCATGATAAAGAAACATGGATTAATGGCAGTGTTTATTGGGATGCAAATACAATGAAAAAGAACTAAACACTAACTGTGAACTCAAGGTAAAAAGAAATTCAATTTGTTATTTGCATTAGACATTGCTCAGAAAACTTCTATTCAGCAGCAAAACTGCTTAGGACAGAGAAGAGAAGGGCAGGGAAGCCAGTGGAAGTCGCTTTTTTCTCCTGTTAATATAACATCATTAATGTTGATGGCAATTCTCCAGCAAACGTCTCACATAAATAACACATCATCACTTGTGACAGAATGGTGGTATGAAGGAATATTACAGCTGCCCTGTGATCTACCTGAAACTAATTGCTTGCATAGGTTTCATTACTTTTCAAGTGTCAGGAAAAAAAAATAATAATAAAAAAAAAAAAGGATGCACGTTCTGATGTACACTTCTCAGATGGTATTAAGTCTTTTAAATCTTCTCCCTTGCTTCTGTTCTTTCCCAGTCCAGGTCTCTGTAATGTCTTTTTTGCATTATTCTAGTTTCTTTTCACTCTTCCCACTTGTAGATTTTTCTGCCACAGCTCTTAACTTCCTCCTTTCCATCTTCATATTCCACCTGCTGTCAATCAGTTAGTCTTTCCCTTTTTTTGGTCTTTCCCTTTCCATTTGGAAACAGGCTGTCCAGGGAAGTGGTGGAGTCACCATCCCTGGAAGTCTTCAAAAGACGTTTAGATGTAGAGCTTAGGGATATGGTTTAGTGGGGACTGTTAGTGTTAGGTTAGAGGTTGGACTGGATGATCTTGAGGTCTCTTCCAACCTAGAAATTCTGTGATTCTGTGATTCTGTGATTTTTCTGTATCTTCCTTATGTTTTCAGGGGCTTTCCGTGTCCTTTTAGGACTCCCATTATTGCATTGTTTCTTCAGCACTCTGATTTTAAACTGTTGTCTAATCGGGTGTTTCCAGACCTCTAGTCCCTATGTTTTGTTTCTTTCTTTGTTTTCAAGCACTGGTTGCTAATGTTTTGATCTGAAGAAATCGGGAAAGACCTACCCAGGACATCCCTAGACTGGCATTTCAGGGCACAGCTACTGCTGGTAGGCTCCTGCACTCTGTTTTCTCACAAGGGAGCCTCACTGCCCTTTGCATGCAAGGATTGCTGACATTTGGAGCATAGAAAGCAAAACCTGTTACTGAGGGCTACCCTGTTCTCACAGCAGAATTTTATGACACGGTGACAACTAAGCAGCACCACACAAGGGTGCAATAGTGCCTGCATACAGCCACCAGCCTGAGCAGCTCTTAGACTACTAGAAAACAGGCATTTGATTTTCTTTGGCACCTGCCACTGCCGCACTACAGCAATCCTGGCTGATGGACCAGAATCCATTCACCACGGTGCACTGCTGCAAGCACATGTTGTTGGTAGCAGCACTCTTAGCTGTTTTGTCTGCCAGTGTCAGCATCAGGCCCACTGGTCTCCTCACACTCTTTCAACAATTTTACCATAATTCTTCCTCGCTCTCAGTTTGTTGCCTGCTATTTTGCTGCTGCTGCTGCTGTTTTTCCATTCTTTTCAGTCCTTCCTGTCTCACAGTCCAGCTGTCCCACCCAGCTGCCATGGAGCCTACCATCTCCCATATTCCACTGTTTTGCTGCTACAGGGGCATCATCCGCAGCCTCATACTCACTGCAGGAAATAACTGTCATTCCTGCTGCACTGCACATCATGCCTGTTGGAGGACATTTGTTAAATAACTAAATTGTCTTGAGACTGAGTACCATGTAAGGGTTACAGCATGATCGTATTTGTTCTGGGCAATCAACTTCATGTAATGGGAAACTCCAACCAAAGCCAGATCCTAGGAAAAAAGCAGGGTGAAGCTATCAAAGAAATAATGTTACCCTTGTCTACTGCAGCACTATGCAGAAACTTCACACTTCTATGAAATGATCCTCAAAAGGGCAAATATGGCCCAGAAGTATTATGGCTGCATGATAATCTATCTGAGAAATCACTTTCATTTTCTACCTATTACAAACTCTTTCAAATTCGGAGATTCACATTCCTATTTCTGGAAACAAATCCATGACCCCAGATAATTAATTTACTTTAACAGTCAACAGGAAAATGGAACTGCCATTTATCTTTCGGCTTGACTTTGTGTACAGACTCGGGCAATTACATCTCCATCTTTTAGTTAATTTTGTCTGCTACAGACCCAGTTAAATATACTTGCAGGCTTCAGTTATTTCCTGAAAGTCTGCAGGATATGAGCGATCACTGTTTGTGTATTAATCACTGAGATGTTTTTATCCTGACTTCCTAAGGAAATAAAGTTTATATGAGCAGTCTGTGGGTTTGTGCACACACTTCTTTATCTGTCCTTTCATTCTGACTTGTCTCTGTTGGATTGACTAATTTCAACCAATTTGAAACAAAAGTAGTCCTTTTAAGAGATGAATTGTGTGCACCGTAAATGCTATGTTGTTTCTAATAGATTTTCTTTTTCTTCCTTTCTCTGAGGAAAAGGTTGCAGGATGAACTTGCTACCTATTAGGCTCAAGAAAATCCACATGAGAGCAGTGTTATGCGAGTGTCCCAACCATGGAAGCTTTGGTTGGTGAACCTTGTGCAGTTAGGTCTTATAATGGTGCCTGTGAGGCACAAAGAACCAACTGAAGTGGCTTTGCTCTTCAGAAAATGCCTGGTTTTGTTTGCTTTGTTTTTATTTATTAAAATCCTTAATGCTGGATTACATGGTATGCATGGGAATCAAGTTTTAAAATAATTATTTTCATGATTATTTAAGTACTTCTATCACTTTAATTTTCAAATGCCTCTAGCTCATTATCTGTAAAGAAGGATATATCTTGCCTTTTATAATTGTCAGATTTACAATCATACCTTTTCCCATGCGGTCAGCAAATTCTTGTGGCTGGAAGAGTTCCATATCTGGTAGCTTTCCACTGAGAAATGCTATAAATGACTGTTATGACATTAATGTCACGGAAGAGTGTGAGATATGACACCATCTATCCCCTGTGCTGCTCAGAAGACATGTCCTCTGAGTGTTGGGGTCTGCAGATAGAGCAGGTCGGAAAAAGAAAAGGAGAGAGAGATGAAAGTTAGGGGACGATAATGCAGTTACCCTCCTTCCAAACTCATGCACTTATAGCCTCCTTTGTCCCAGGAGTAAATTCAAAGAAGGTGAATGTGGCAGCAGGGGAAGGAAATACTCTGAGAAACTTGCCAAGACAGTGACACTATGATTGACTGAAGGAGCACAGCTGCCGCAGAAAAGGACGCAGACTTTGAGGGCAGGCATGAATCTTCACTGCTCCCAGGCAGGCATTGTCAGGACAATGCAGAAATCACCTTCTCCCTCGTGATCATTAAACACCAGCTGTGCAGAGAGATTAGGACACCCAAGAACTCAGAGTTCAGACTCAGAGGAGTTGCAGGAGAGGACAGACTTTTGTGACAGAATGTAAATAGCATAAATTCCTACCAAGGGAGATAAGATCTGGAATTTAACACAAAACATAGACCTGTCTCTTTGCTAAAAACAGACTGTGATTATGTTATGGAAAAATTTGGAGGAAAAAATAAAAAGGAAGAAAAAATTATTTAAAATGTTGCTGCTGGATGTATTTGAGATGGTAGTAAAGTCGTAGATGTGATGCTCTAAGATACAAGCAAGTCTTTCTTTCTGGGAAAGCTGATGTACAAAATAATAACTTTATTAGAGATGTACAGAATTTATGAAAACATGGACTATAGGACAATATGGGGAACACACAAATTTTCTTCAACTGTTGCATTTACATTTTTCATGTGGTGTTTCTAACCTGCACAAATATTTCACTTGACCTAAATGTACCTGTTTTATATATCCTTGGTCAAATTTGCAACACAGTTAAAAATATGTTTGCTTAACTTATAAGTGAACTAATGCTATACTCTAATGACTTGCATAAGCTTACTTTAAGGTTATTGTTTATCGTTTTTATTCTGAAATGCAAATTCGTGGTCCCACATGTATTTACCATGAATTTTCCCCATTACATTTGTTGATATCACAGAGAAGTTGTAAAAATTAAGGGCTTTACCATAAAAGGGGTTTATTTTATTTTAATCTGCAATTTGAATTTACAACGTTTCAGCAACTCTAAGCTAATGAGAGAGAATAACTTTCTTTTATTAAGAAAAAAAATCCTTATTGTTAATTATCTGTCAATTATTTATAAGGAACGTGTAACATATGTATAAGGAGCATTACTGCATCTCTTATCCCAGTTTGAAAAGAAAAAGTAAATATTTTTTTCTCATTAACTACAAATCCTGCATTCTACTTGGTTATAACCTCAGATCTTCTGCTGTATCTCTACCCTTAAAAATTAATGCAACACACCTGGGAGTGCAGCTAACTGGGAATTTTTTAGGGAAACAATTTTAAAGTTGAAAAATACTCATTCACTGTATATTCACTTTCAGTAATAGTTCATCAGAGCTTTTACTGAAGACTAAAACTCAGAGAGAGCGAGAAGGTTAATTGGTAATAGCCTTGTGATCATGAAACTCTCTTGAGAGATGCAAAGAAAATTTAGGATTCTCTTTGGCCTTATTTAGGTATCAGGCCTGAGTTTTTTCTTCTTCGCCTAAGTCCACAGACATATAGGTTTGAGAAAAATCACCACAATCCAATGAGTATTGTATTTGGGATGTTGGGTATTCAGTACTCAACTTCATGACTTCATTGGAGAGAATTTATGCAAAATACACAAAGACAAAAAATCCTAATTCCTCTCTAGTTTAGGAAAATCACTGCGGAGTTGGTGGTTGGAGCAGATTTCTTGGAAAAGCAGACCTGGAGACTGAACATGAATCTTCTGCATGCTGCATTCCTCCACTGCCAGACTATTTTCTATGCATCTATAAAAATAAACAGTTTTAGTGTTATTAGATAAAGAAGACCATTTAAGAAACCCTAACAAATTTTATGGGTTCAGAAAACCATTACCTGGTCTAAACGGATACTGAGCATCTTTCATCTATGTGGGACAGATTAAATCAAATTTATTTATTTACTTATTATTATACATGAACCTGATTATAAACTCACATTACAGAATCATAGAATCATAGCATCATTAAGGTTGGAAAGGACCTCCAAGATCCTCTGGTCCAACCATCCCCCTAATACCAATGTCACCCATTAAACCACGTCCCTAAACACCATGTCCAACCTTTCCTTGAACATCCCCAGGGACAGTGATTCCATCACCTCCCTGGGCAACCCGTTCCAATGCCTGACTGCTCTTTCTGAGAATAAATGTCTCCTAATTTATAACCTTAACCTCCCCTGGCACAACTTGAGGCCATTCCCTTGAGTCCTATCAGTAGTTACGTGCAAGAAGAGGCCGACCCCCAGCTCCCCACACCTTCCTTTCAGGTAGTTTTAGAGCAACAAGGTCTTCTCTGAGCCTCCTCTTCTCCAGACTAAACAACCCCAGTTCTCTCAGCCACTCCTCACAGGACTTGTGTTCCAGGCCTTTCACCAGTTTTGTTGCCCTTCTCTGGACATGCTCCAGAGCCTCGATGTCCTTCTTGTAGTGAGAGGCCCAAAACTGAACACAGGACTCGAGGTGCGGCCTGTATTTATATCCTGATGTCATTAACATTAAGAACGACTTTTGTTAGCAGTGAAATGTGGTACTAATGACTGACAGTCAACGATATTCTGTATATAGAATGGGCAACTCTCCTTTGACAGAAAGCTTGAGGAACTTCCTCTTTCTTCCAAGACAGTTTTCTATACTTTCTGAGAAGAATCCAATGACCTAACTTCATCCTGTAAGGTATAATCTTAAAACTATCAGGTAACAAAATAAAGTAATTTTATAACAATATTTATCTGATAATTAAAATAGTAACAGATAAGTATTTGGTAAAAATGGAAATGGTCTTAATTACTTTTTATTGTGGAGGTCAACATTTTGTTATTGTAATTAAATCTGGACTATTTTTCTATTCTGAGAATAAACATAAATTCAGACTTAAAAATATTTGCTCTAAAGAATATTCACTGGAAGAAGAAAAACCTAAAATAGTATGTCTTAGTAGGTCCCTTCTTTTGTAAACACAATTAACAAAAAAAGTGCTGCCTGAAGAAGATGATGATTAATGGTTCTAAACACTATAGATCTGCACTATGTAATGGATCTCATATCCTTGAAATGAGAACTGTAATTTGTCATTGTTGTCTAGAGCTAAAATTACAACAGGTAATTTACAAGAATAGATTATAGTGTTTTATAATTGCCTTTTTTTTAAAATTCATATAGTTTTATATTTGAATACATGTTAGGTCTCAGAGCAATGCATTCATTTGCTGTGTAGTGACATACAATGGCCAGATAATCAATTATACATTTGTTTAGCTACAATGTTTAGCTACACATTTGTTTAGCTACAATATCATATTTCTTCTACAGTATGGTACCCTGCAAGTAGCACCACAGAGAGGAATGAGTTACCACATGCTGCAGTAGTATCAGAACTCAGAGGTTTAAATCATGAGACTTTAGTGAAGAGGTTTCCATCCATATCTGCTCTGCTTTTGGATAGAAAAGTTTACCTGTTCCTTGTTCATTCTGCCTGTTCTGTTGGGTTTCATGACAGACTTGCACTTTGGAAAGTCAAGCTGAGTTTCAGAAAACAGAGACAACACTAAGTATGAACATCAGCTATGTGAGTCATTTGATTGATTTTCAAGCTGAAAAAAGGAGAACTGTGTTAACCTTTCTGGTTTCTTCTTCTTTTCTGATTCTTCTTTCAAATGAATCCAGAGCAGTAACTAAAGAATAGCCGGTGTCTCCCTAACTGGGACTACTGTCCTTTTCAGTGACTGAGGGGATTCTCCATGGAGTTCTCCTTTCTTTTTCCCTTTGCAACACAACTTTTTTGAAGAGAGGATGTTGTGAGCTGGTTTCCAGAGCCATCAATGGGCTGTACTTTTGTCCAAAACAGCATTCCTTCTCTGAATGCTCAAAGCGGGGATCCAAGTCAGTACCCAAGCATTCTCATATAATGGTATGTCAGCATCAATGAAAAATGAGGCTAGGACTGCAACCAGAAAATCATGTGCCATTAAATTATTACCATTATTATCACCTGGGACAGATTTGGGCTATCTCAACTAGAATTTCCCAAGCAGTGCCCTTCATTGCCTAGGGCTTACAGCATGACAAGGCCCGTTCCCAACAAAAGCTGGAGAGGACTGCTTTGATTTTTAGGAGCTGAGGGAGTAAAGCTGTATGGACACAAGCTGTCCCAGCTGTGCCAGCTGACCTCAAGTCCTTGCTCAGTTTGTAGCCAGTTGGTCCCAGTTGTCAGGTTCTTTTCTGTCTGCTTAGTCAGCTGAGAGGAGGATGAAAACATTTTTCCCACTAAGCAGCACTCATTTTCTACTTTTATTTCCACATCCCTACTCAACCAAGTGGCTGGCAGTGCTCACAGTTAACCCTTGGGGATGGAGCATGTTCTGCCTTCTTAGGGGAATTACTTTCTGGCAGGGCTGGTCTCTTGCCAGCATGTCCTTACAGGGTGCTGCTTTCTCATGGCTCCCACCCGACGTTTCCTGCCCCTACTGCACCTCCCTATTTTAGACAATGAATGAATTCTCTAACTGGTCTTGGCTCTTTTTTTTGTGTGTCTCATACCATGTATGCGGCTCATGGTAGGCTGCAGTTCATTAAAATGTACACAATATTTCATATTTGGAGAATTCCTCTTAACCTCTATACTTTCAAAGAATTACAGTAAATTTATGTAAGAGATGTCAGACAGAAAAACCTTATTCATGGCATTTTTTTGTGGGAATGTACTAAGAATCCAACATTTTGGCTTCTGATATGGTCTAACGTGCCCTAATCGTTTGAATGGGAAATTCCATTAAATTAGTGACTTACAGTCCTGGAATTGCTTGGTGACCTCAAGTGCTGGGGGACAGATGTAGCTTGCCTTCTTTATTAACTGATGCTGGCTCATAAATGTATCTTGATAGCTTGGACAACAGAGAGAGCTCCCTTGTGGGCCACTTAGTTGAACTTGACTGAAAAATGCCTGCCCCTGGAAAGAAAAATATTTGGCTTCCAACAGAGAACCAGAGGTTTCTGTGCCAAATGGGAGAGTGTTTGGAAGCAGCTAGAGCAAAATGGAGAGAAGATTAAACTGTCACACTAGAACTGAAAACTGTTATGCAGATATGTAAAAACATGATACACCTATATGTGCATCTGTCTACTGTGAATGTTCTTCCTTTTCTATTTTAAATCTGTGTTAACTACATAAAGCTAATGTGTAATTATTTCTTGGTGCTTGTTTTCAAAAATAGAGGCATTTTTTGTTAAATGTATAACATGGGCAGCATATGATTTGGCTTTTCAGGCTGCTGAAAAGACAACAGGTGTAGGTCAGATAAGTATTCAGAGATACAGCTTTACAGGGCTCTGTTAAAAGTAGTAGTAGCCAGAGCTAAATGCCTTTGTATCTAGCATCACATAGGATTAAAGTATAGTCTAGAGGTGCTCTGCATGTATGGTCTGTCTCAGACATATAGCTGTATATTCACTATGAAGAATGAATAAATTATATGAAATGTTAGTTCAGAACCAGCATATTGAATCAAAGGGAGATGTTGCCATCTAATTAAGATTTCAGCTTTAATCATCCCCCTTCCTTGATATGTACATACATATCCACCCCACGTATGTACATGGGTATGTGTGTGAATGAGTATATATGCAAGCATTAATTCAGCAATAGTATTCAGATCTTGTTAATAATCCTATTTTCCATTATCTTTCCTTGCATGTCAATTGATGCAATATATATACTGCAAGATTCAGAATTTGAAGGGAATATTAAAAGAATGCCTATTTTCAGTGAAGGCATATGCATGTTTTTATATAGGGTTTTATAAGAAAGACTGAAGTGAAAAAGGTCAAAGAGAAAATAATAAACATAAAACTATAATTTAATGGAATGGTATGACTGTTATATTTTTTCTTTGTCCCATGGAATTCATTAGGAAGTAATCATATCATTATAGAATCTTGTAAGATAATTTTAAAAATCAAAAAGACATGCTCAGATGAATTCTGTAAGTTTTAAACTAATTTCTGTAGAATCCTACCAGTCTCACCTCTGTTAAGTTCTGAAGAATTTTATATAGACACTCTATTCTTCAGTCTATTCACAGACTGAAGGCATGGGTACAGCTGGACTATGCACGTGCCTTATTCAGTGAATTACTACTAGCTCTCATTTGCTGCCTTGCCACAGCAGTAACAAAATAGTAACATGGAGCAGAAGTCTCATATCAGATAACACACATGCGCCAGCTGTCCCTTTAACCCACTATTCTCCTCCTTCCTGATACAATTTTTATTTTTTCATTTTATATACTCCATTTTTTTTCACTTATGAACAACACTTTGTTTAAAAAGTCACAGTTTAAAAACCCACTGAATTATGGAAAATGCTGTGTTTGTAATGGAAATAAAATGCTCATTTCATAACAAAAGAAACACAGAAGTTTGCCCTTCCTGTTAACATTTGTGTAACTTTAAGAAATGTCTTTGCATCCTGCCATGTGATTGCAGGAGTTATGGAAACAACACTACTGAATAGCAAAATCAGGCATCAGGATAGCTGTATCTTAATAACCTTCAATTTTTCCGTATGTTCCAAGTATTTGTCTCGGTTCAACATGGAGTGAACATGAGACATAACAAATCTGTGAGTGGAAGGATGATATATTCCACTTTCACAGCTTTTCAGACACTGCCTGAAAAGTTGTTTTAGAACTTTGTTCTAATTGTTTTAGAAATTAAGTACTTTTGTTCTTACTATTATCTGTGTAAAAAAAAAACACCAACAACAACAACAATAAAAGAAGCAATAGACAAACCATGTACATACTTTGTGTACCTGTCCGTAGAAGATATTGTAGCAAGGCAGACAGCTCTGAATAGAGACTTTCATACTTCAAGCACTCCATAAGAAATGGGGATCCCATGAAAGGTCCATTGTTGGTGCTGTACTGTGTTTTACAATTAAAGTAACATGGCTGGTTTGAGAGGGAAGCAAGATACCACAAATCCCATGGATATTTGTCAGTTGAGCATTGCTGCTATTTCTGTCACATTAACATCGCATAATCACAGAATGGCTGAAGTTGGAAGGAACCTCTGGAGGTCTTCTGACCACCCCCCCCCCCCCCCAGCTCAAGGGTCACCTAGAGCAGGTTGCCCAGGACCACATCCAGGTGGCTTCTGAAGATCTCCAGGGATGGAGACTCCCTGTCTCTGGGCAACCTGTGTCAGTGCTGTCAAAGATTGCTATCGAACAATGCTTCCTTCTTTGAATATAATTTGCATCACATGCAAAGATTTTTTTTGGTTATTTGTGTTACAAAATGTTCTCAAAGGGAACAGAAAATGTACATGGTATATAATACTGTACATGAGTAACAATTCTGTCTTTATAATACTGAAGCTAAGGCAAATGTGTCAAAGGTACTCGTGTAGTACAATTTAGATCAATAATACTTTTCTTTTTGTTGTATCATTCAAGCTCCTTTACTGTCTAACAGCATCAACAAAACATTTTCAAACCTTTATATTTTCAGCTTTTGGAAAGACTAACTACGGTAAGATATATGCCAAGGTTTAAGAATACAGAACATAGTTGCTAAATATATATGTTATATTTAGGACTGCTTACAGCATGAAAAAACACCAGAACAACTGTAAGTATACAGATACATATTTAAACAATGATTATGTCACATGTAACTCCTTCATTGTCATTCAGCCACCTAAACTTTGTTTTCTTATTTAGATGGAGGGGGAAATTTTCTTTTCTTTTCTTTTCTTTTCTTTTCTTTTCTTTTCTTTTCTTTTCTTTTCTTTTCTTTTCTTTTCTTTTCTTTTCTTTTCTTTTCTTTTCTTTTCTTTTCTTTTCTTTTCTTTTCTTTTCTTTTCTTTTCTTTTCTTTTCTTTTCTTTTCTTTTCTTTTCTTTTCATGTCAAAGCTAGAAGGAGAGAAGAGATCAAATCAGTGCCCAAATGACCTTCCTTTCTACCTAAGAAATTAAAATCATAGAGTCATAGAATCATAGAATATCATTTGCCAAAAGAGACCCACAAGGATCATTGAGTCCAACTCCTGGCTCAACACAAGAACATGCAAAAATCTGACCCTATCTCTGAGACCACTTTCCAAACGCTTCTTGAACTCCAGGAGCTCGGTGCTGTGCCCACTGCCCTGGGCAGCCTGTCCCAGTGCCCGACCACCCTCTCGGTGCAGAACCTTTCCCTAACCCCCAGCCTGACCCTCCCCTGTCCCAGCTCCATGCCGTTCCCTTGGGTCCTGTCACTGTCCCCAGAGAGCAGAGCTCAGCACCTGCCCCTCTGCTCCCTTTGTGAGAAAGTTTTAGGCCCCATTGAGCCCCATAGACTTATATGTGTCCATCTGGACCAGCAAATCCTGCACAAGTTCAGGACTGGCTGGGAATTTATTGTTCCTGTAGTCACAGTCCTCCAGGGGTCCCAGAGCCCATCATCAGTCTTGAAGATAGAGGCAAAGAAGGCATTAAATGTCTCTGCTTTGTGTTTGTCCCTCTTTGTGAGGTGACCATCCTCATCAAGAAACAGACCAATGTTTTCTCTGGTCCTCCTTTTGCTGTTAACATATTTTTAAAAAGCCCTTTTTATTGCTCCCCACAGTACTGGCCAACTTCAGCTCTAATTGAGCCTTGGCCACATGAATTTTCTCCCAATGGCAAAGAGTATCTCTGCAGTAATCCCATGTCCCCTGACCTTGCTTCCTGCAGCCATACACTTTCTTTTTCCATCTAAGCTCTAAAATAAGATCTCTGCTCAGCCAAGCTGACCTTCTGCCCCACTTGCTTGACTTCTGACATGTTGGAATTGCCTGGTACTGTGTTCTTAGGAGTTGCTCCTTAAAAAATGACCAGTACTGATGGATCCTGATAGCTTCAAAAGCTGTTTCCCAGGGGGGCTTACCTAACGAGTTCCCTGAGCAGCTTGAAGTATGCTCTTCCCATATCCAGCACTGAAGTTTGGGGGGCAGTTTTCCTGTTGTCGACAAAGATTTTAAATGCGACTACTACATGGTCAGTATGGCCAAGACGGCCACCAATTACCACTTTACTCATCAGAGCCTCTCTGTTCACAAGCAACAGATCTAGGAGGGTACCTTTCCTAGTCAGCTCCCTCAGTACCTGTACCAAGAATGTGTCATCAAAGTATTTCAGGAATCTCCTGGACCTGTTCATATCAGCTGTGTGGTATTCCTGGATAACATCTGGCAAGTTTAAGTTGCCCAGAAGGACAAGGGTGGCTGATCTAGAGGTATTTCTTTGTTCCTTAAATGTACTGGTGTAGTCATGAAATTGGACTTCGACCCAGTCACTGCCCTTTATCTCTGGTCTTCTCAAAATACATTGACAGTGCAACTGTTCCCCTCAAGAAAATGTTCTCTTGGCTTAATGTCTTTAGAAGTCAAAGATTTTGATAAGGATATGGACATGATAGTTGATATAGCTTTATAAATAAAAAAGGTTGAATTGCAAGAAAATTTCAATCTAGTTGTAAAGTTAGTGATTAATTAGGGCAGGGATTTTATAGTCTCTCTCTATATTTATTTATTTATTTTGTGAAAATACAATAGAGCCCACTGCAATGAAAACTGCCACCACAAGTACAGGGAACTGGCACAGGACAAGAGCATGCACTTGTTCCTCAGTAGCTGTAAGGAGTGGCCTAAATACTGTGGCTAGCCCTAATAAATTTAGCGTCAATACCAAGAAGTTCTTGTCATGATGTGGCATGGACAAAAGATCCTTTTGCTCATCTCCCTGGCCCAGTAACTCTTTATAAATGTAAGTTGTCCCCAGAATAAAGTTTATTACTATGGAAGTTTAATCAATTTTGTGTATAAAATCATGCTGATTGTACAATTTTTCTGCTTCTGTTTTAAAAGTATTACTGTATTGAATTAAACATTATTTCAATAGTTATGAAACATGCATGTCAGACTAGGCTGATAAACCTGAAAATGAATTCCAACTTGGAAAACAAATTGATTTATTTTCCGTTTGTAGGGATAAACAAACAAACAAAAAACTAACAGCAGTCACGGGATAAAAAGGTTACACAAGGCAGATCTCATTTGCAAAAGCAGCAACAATATACACATATATTACATAAAGGCCAAAGCAATTAATATCTGCACAACAAAGTTCATGAAGCAGTAGTTCACACAAAGTGAGGACTGTAGGATATTAAATTAGCCTATTAATCCACAAAGCAAACTTTGTAGTCAGTCAAGCAGTTTTTCAGAGTCTCAAAGAAGCCATCTGATGGGAGAGTAATTAGATTTGTGTTTCAGCTCTGGAAGCACCATGTGCACTTTTTCTACTGCTTTATAGGCCATAACAAGTTGTTCCCAGGCCACTTAACAGACAAGTCACATTTTCATCATTCAGTGGAGCCTTGAGTACATTTAGGACACGTCCTGCAGAGCTGCTCATTGTAGTGGTTCAAGGACACCTGGTGCTGTTGGAACAAATGCTTTATTTATAAATATAGATTTAATGAGTTTCTGAAGTGCAGTAGGATGTCCTTTGATCCTGAAAAAGAAGAGTGGCTCATCTATACAATCTAGTGTGATGCAAACAGGGGAGATGATTTAATCTAAGGTATGTCATAGCTATCAAAAGCATCCCAATGTTGTAGCATTGAAGTAAGAGCTCCATGATGAACAATCCACCAGAACAGTAATGTCATTTTGATACATTCCACAGAAAATCATGGATGAATGATAGCAGGTAAGTGTACAAGTCACTGATGTGATAGAGCAGACCAGACAATTCTCTTTGATAATGGTGTTTTACTGTTGGACTAAATTAAGTTTTATGGCATTTGGCTTCCTATTGTCCTTTTCAGAATCACTTATAAAGTCTATTTATAATTGCTCTGGCATTCCTAGGATGCTATACTGAAGTCGCACAGTACTTCTGCACCTCCATTTGTGACCACTTTATCTTGGCTGGTTGACGATGCAGCTGTGTCATGTCAGTGCCAGTGGGTAATGGCAGAAGAAATGATCATCCATCTCCACCACCACCGAGTGGCAGTCCAGTTCTGTGTGCTTCTGCCTGCTCTGCACATCCAGCACTCACTCTTGTGCTTGGTCCATGGGAGTAATACATCAACATATCAATAACACATTGTTTACATGATGAGCAGCCAATTCACCACTTCAAAAACAAGCTACATTCACTAAAGTATTATAAAGAGTCTCTTCACGGTGGAATTTTAGCAAATAAATGCCATACATTCTCATCTGCCGACTAAGAATTTGAAATGCTTGAGAATTATAAGTGCTTGTGAATATAATGAGGTTTTGTGTTCAGAGGAAACTGTACAATGATTCTGCTGTATATATTTGTAAAGTATGGCTGTTTGTCTTGTAGCAAGCACACAGAGAATCCGAGGAAAAAACAGAGCCTATGCTGAGTACTATCTACAAAAAATTAGCACAGAAACAGCTCTGATTTAGGGTGCAAGCAACCTCAACTTCAGATATCGTACAGGAAGTAGAAAGAAAAATTGTTCAGGAAGTCACAAGCATCTTCTCTCCCTTGAGAGATCACTTCTGACACTTCAAAGAAAGCTAGTTACTTGCTGATTCTCATGATCTTAGCTTATTTCCTTACAGGGACAATCCTTCATATTCCCAAAATGTGAGATTAATTACAACATGAAGGGAAAATATGGTAGTAGCTCTAGTCTCACTCATATCGGGGAGAAAAGCAGTTTTGGCTTAGATACCAAAACATGTGCACTTCTTACATACATTAGTCCAAGGCAATTAAAACCTGCCACCTGGAAATTCCGGTTATTCGGTAAAATAAATGATGCTTTGAGAGGCACCCTTCTTATAAGGCTTTACCGTGTCTTTTGTATTTTCTCAGTTTAGATAAAATGTTTGTTGGCTGGCATTTACCTTCAGCCCATACAGATCCAATTATCATGCGATAGTAATAGTCATAGGAAAAATCTCCATCTTCTAACACAGAAAAAGAACGTTAGAATGAAGAAAAACGCAGCTGGACAACCTACTGTTCTTTCCTTCACCAAAAAGCATCCCTCCATCATTCAGATTTTTACATTCACTCTTCTCTTACCTGTTCCTAACGGCTTTGAATTTCCAGTCATCTGCCTCTCTCATTTGTGTGTCCTGCTTTTTCTTGCATCTCCCTCAAGCTTCCAATGACAATTTCAGCAACAGTTTTCATGGGAACTGGGAGCCAGCCAGGAGGGCTTTCAGGTCCAAGAAGAGTGGAACACTGTTTGTGTTAGGGCAGCTCACATATTTTAGCTCCAGGCTTTGCCATCAGAAAACTGGCGGGACAGATCCAGACACGGCTATTATCGCAGGCACTTCTTTATCTGGCTCCTGGGTGACAATCTCAATGCAGAGAAGAATCTGCACAAGGACAGAAACCGAGGAGGATAAACATGTTTATCAGCAGAGGGTATTTAGAAAAGTAGAAAGAAAGAAAAAAAAGGACATAAAAAGGATAAGGAGAAAAAGGAAGAAGGTGAAACAAAGAAGAAGAAGGGGAAACTCTTCCCCTCCCCTGAATAGACTCCCTTCCAGGAGTCTTCTCTTCAGGGAAGACTCCCTTCCCTGAAAGTCTATGAGGAAATTGTTGATTAATGACACACTCTCCCAGTGCTTTGCAACATCAGATTTTGTTTTGTTGTTTCTAGTAAATTCTCTGCTAATTCTTAATCAGAGTAGAACTCCGATTGTCACGCATTTCAGAGCTGGGACTGCTATTATGGACAAGCATCCCATGCATTCTTGGAACAACATGGAACAACAGGGTGTGACAGCAACTACCATACAACAACTATGTGCAGAGCAGTGCACTCACCTCAGCTAGCAAGAAAATCTTTCCTGGAAACCTATTTTATACTTACCCTGGCCTCCCTAAAGGAGAAAACTGCCATAAGAGATAATGTACCAAACACTGAAAAATAAGGAAGTGTTAAAGACATCTGTGAATCTGTAATTCCTTGTTAAATTGTGATGCTGGCTTTAGTTATACAATCATATACATATTTTCCCCTTGACCCCTGCTTCATTAGGTGCAAAGAATGAACATTTTATTTATTCTTCCAGCTTCACTCTGCATGTGGTCTATTTACTTTCCACTATTTCAGTCTCAGCTGTGAGGACAACCATAAATTTTCTACTGCCTGCTCTCTGGCTCTCATAGCACATATATGCTTCACAAACATTTTTCCCCACAACATTCTCCTGCAAGAAAGGAGTTATATCATCTCCACCCTCCAGGTGGGAAACACAGGCTCTGAGATAACAGCATCTGCAAGTTCAGGCTGATCCATCGGAGTAGCTCACAATGGGTAACATTTTGTGTTTTCAAAGGGCAGTTCCCTGTAGCTTCAGATACATTTGTGAATTTTTACGCGTTTCCACAAATCTGCCTGTGAGATCTGAAGACGGACAATGAAAACAGAATGAAATAAACTCCTGGGAAAAATGTGATTAAAGGAACTGGCCACATAGGAACGCTGCAGTGGAGACTGACTCTAGTTCTCCAAAGTCTAGTGATGAGACCTTGCTTATATTTCCTCACTCCAATGGGGCTTTCTGATAAGAAATGTCACGCAAGCTTGATAACTAGCAGTGCTACTGGTGCATCGCAGATACTAAAATGTGCTCTTTGCTCATGTAAAATCCCATGCTGTGACTGGAAAGGAAGTGCAGACTAAAATAAGCAGGACTCTGAAGTTCACCGTGCCTTTTCTTGCTGCTGGAGCAGTTACAGATGCTGAATTCCTCCTCGTGGAATTTAACTAGAAGGGAATGTCTAGCAAAACTCTCCAGCAGAAAGCTCTGTGACTCCCATTATAACACCAGGCACCATAAATTGGAGAAAAGACACCAGAAAACAATCCAGAAGCTTTTTCAAATTATGCCTTGTAGTGCAAGCAAGATCCTTCTGTTAAATTGAAATCCATACTTATGGAGAGGGGAGTAATTCTGTGATTCTTCAATTCTGTGATTCTGTGAGTAAACAAGAAAAAAATGACACTGGGAGGGTTCCTAGGAGTCTTCTAAGAAATTCATTCTGTGGCAGAGATAAAACAATCCAGCTCCATATTTTTCACATCCCGTGGCTTAGCAATCCCTTTAAAGAGCACCGTTCTTTCAAATACATGTTCTTCTTTTCAGGCTCTGTGACACAGAGCTCACTGACCATACGACATTTTGTTGCTCGTGTCCAAGAAATTCAGCTATACTGCTCGCTTCCTTTTAGTGATTTGCTCTGTTAGCAATCTTCCATCTCTTACTGTCTGTGCATTTCTCAACGGATAGGATTTTCAGACTGTCCTAAGAGGGAGTTAACTCCTAATGAGTTGTTAAACACCTCTACCAAGGATTCTGGTCTTTTGGCTTGTGGAACACATCTCAAGACTCTTGACCTAGAAATCACAGAGCAAGATTCATCTGTTTCTGGTTATTAGACACATAATTTTTGTTATTTCTAACGTTACTTTTGATATCAAGGACATATTTTTCCAGCTGAACTTGGTTCTCACATCATTTGTTTGACATGCAGATTTTTACGCATTTTTAAGCACTTTTAAATAACTTACAAAGTAAATAAAGACTTAAAAATGTGAGTTCTTTTCCACTTAAATAGTATTAAAAGCAAATTTGAATCTTCTCATTTTACATTTTTCCAGCTGCTATGTAGAGGGGAGAGGAGAGGAGGGGAGGGGAGGGGAGGGAAGGGAAGGAGAAGGGAAAGGCACCTGCAATGAAACCTCTAAAGCAATGGAGAGAAGGAAATTTTTCCTAGAGATGCAGAAAAAAACAGCAAACCCACAACCTGCTGAGGTGTTACTTCAACTGAGGGAGCCACTGAAGGTTCCTGAACTAGAAAGCTGGGAAGTCCATTTGCAAGAGCCCATTGAGCCAAAGTAAAATCTGGTTTTGAGACTATGATTTTAATCTCTTAATCATCGGTATTTTATCTATTTCAGTGTGGTGGTTTTACTCAGGTGGGCAGCCGAGCTCCACCACAACCGCTCTCTCATGCCCCCTCTCCTCAAAAAGGAAGGGGGAGAAAATACAACACAGAGAACTCGAGGTTTGAGATGAGAAAGGTTTAATTAAAGGGAAAGGGAATGGGGAGGAAAAAAAGAAACAAAAGAAACAATCAGTCCGCGCGGAAGCACAGAGAGAGAAAAAATTATTCTCTACTTCCCATCAGCGAGCGGTGTTCGGCCACGTCCTGGGAAGCAGGGCCTCAAAACGCGTAGTGATTGTTCAGGAGGAACAGCCCCCTCCCCCACGAGAGCCCCCCCTTTTATTGCTGAGTGTGACATCAGGTGTTATGGAATACCCCTTTGGTTGGTTTAGGTCAGCTGCCCCGGCAATGTCCCCTCCCCATCACTTGCCCACCCCCAGCCTGCTGGCTCTTGGGGGCTTGGAAGGAGTCCTGATGCTGTGCCAGCACTACGCAGCAACAGACACAACACTGGAGTGATATCAGTGCTGTTCCAGCTACGAGTGCAGAGCACAGCACTGTGCGGGCTGCTGCAGGGAAAAGGTGACTCGAGCTCAGACAGACCCAACACATTCAGGTGTTACCTTATTCCAGACTGTCATTTCTGCATTCAAATGAAATCAGCTTTTAGAAACAGGATGAAGATTTGTCATTTGGTGTCTTTGTTTCAGAAGAAATACTTTCTTTCTTGAGGTGAAACACTTTCACCTCAAGGTTTGAGTAATACTGGGTTCTGCTATAAACATGGATAGATTTATTTGACGTGTTATTTCTGAGCCAACTAGTACACCTTCAGTTTTATAGATGGATATTTGTGCAGCTTCAGAAATCCACCCTCAGTGGTCATTGTTTGCATTATTAATCACATTTATTACTTGTTTCAGACAGGTGCCTGTTACAGGATGTGTCTGCCCAGCCAATGCCTGATAGGGGCTTGTAATAAAAAGCTATGTAGGAAAAGGAATGATTTAAAAATCCTCAAAACTGTGCAAACATCACATAAGTGAAAGGGATCACAGATTTTTCTTACATGGACAGTATGGCTGGAAGAAATTTACTAAAAGTAATTAATTGCCCTGGTGCTATCAAAGACATTTCTAGCTTAGACATACAATCTTATAAATAAATCTGTACATGAGCAATTTTCCTATCTATATAACCTAAGTGGAGTAGATTCCACACAGAACTAAAATGCATATGTCAAAGCACATTCATGTGTATTTTCCTTAGTCCGGTACTCATCTGAGTAATTTTAAATGTTATGGCAGCATATAAAAGGACATTACTTTAACTCATTGCTTTTTCAGCGATAAAGTTTCTTGCCATCTAATATTAGGCAATTATCACCTATAAATTTACATGCATGCCTAATGATATTCCACTCAATCAGGCTATTCATATAGTTTAGATTAAAGACACTTTTAGCTGGATGAGTATCTTAATACCTATTCCTCTTTAAGCCTGCTTTCCTGATGGAGAAGAGCTTATGAGATCATACTGGAGAATTTGTGCAGTCAACACTCTTCTAATAGTTTTTGAACCTGTTGGACAATTTCAAGAGCATTTGGCAGAGAGCAGCTAGCTTACAGGTATTAAGTCTGCATACATTAAATTATGACTGGCAGTTAAACAGAGGAAGGAGAGATTATTAGAGTTATTGGCATTTCGATCTCCCTCCTCTGCCAGTGATGGAAAGGCTATATCATGAGCACTTCATTTAAGTCTAGAGAATTCATATTAGAAAGTTATTGTGAATGCCCTGTCACAGAAAAAGCTTTAGAATTTGTAGTTAATTAGACACTAGAGAATCCAAGCAGACGATACCGATCAATACAACTTCATCAGTTACCATACTTATCTCTTTGCTACACATTAAAGAACCCTCACTTGTTAACAGCAAACTCATTTCAAGAAATTATGAATACAAAGAGTTTGTATTCATAATCTTTCTTGCCCTAAATAAAATCTGATGCGATCAGTTTAAAGGGTAAAAAAACACATGTACTACATTAGCATAGTAGCTTCCCTGTTTTTTTTTTTTTGGTTTTTTTTTTTTTTTGAGTGATCAGATAATACTTCCAGTTTAGTTACTGTTTGAATGCATGGGAACTTTCTCTGTATTTCTTTCCCAGTGTTGACATCATGGAAATTTCACAAAGTATGACAGACTGGTAGAAGCACTATTCCAAAGGGACCTTCCTCCGAACCCTATATAGTTTGGCAGACATTCATAAATAGGACCTGTTTTTCTTTAGGTTTTGAGTAGAATCTCTTCTGTTCAAATAACAATTTATTATTCTTATTATCAAATAACAGCTAGAGGACAGAACATTTCTTTAACCAACTACGTGATCCTCTTTATGTTTGCGATGGAGTTACTGCAATAGGATTCCAAACAGGCACAGTTAGATTGAGAGCACCTTGTGACCAAACACCCCCAATGTGGTACCTCAGACATACAAATTTTTCCAAGTGTAATTTTAGCAGGATTTTTAGCAAGTAATAGATCTGTGAGGCTGGTTTTCTTTTTCCTTTCCTCAAATTCCTTATGCACTAGGAATAGTTCAGCTATAAGCCAAAAATATCAGAAACAAGTAATAGAACTTCTCATTTGGTATTTTAGACATGTTTAAAGAAAAATCACTGGGTGTAAGATACTGGGTGTATTTTCATAGTGCTTTTTTTTTTTTTTAATAAAACCTTGTGGCTCAGGTAATTTGCTCTCCCATGAACAACCAAGAACACAAACACAAGCTCAAATATTTTTAATCTGGTTTCTAACAGACTGCATTGTCCTCAGCCAAGGCTGGAGCTCAGTTGTAAATTGACACTATTTGTGTAAACTGGCATTGGTTCACTGAAAATACTGTACCTGTTCAAGATCTATCTTGCTGACTGTTCATGTAAAGTCCTCAGCAATAAAAGGAATGAATGGTATGTAAACAGCACAATGAATGTACAATGTCACCTTTTACAAGTAGTCTTTAGTTTGCCTCATTTAGGTATAAAATTAGCAATACCCACTGAAGACTAAAAATGCGGCACACTACACTTCCTGGAGAGCTCTTCATCCCAGAAAAGAGGATCAAATTAACAGCAAAAGCTCACAGCTTAGAAATTTGAGGGAAAAAAAATCTTCACACACCACATTTGTGCAACGCTCTCTAGCACTTCCAACTTACTCTAGTTGTGTTCGCTTCTGGCATAAAATCAGGGCTTTCTGGTAAGCATCCATGTCCATTCTACTTTCTTTCTAAGGAGGGATGAATATACGTGAAGATGCTGCTTGCTCTGACTAACGAAATGAAATTGCAGAAGCTTAAGTGAGATTATGATTCATTCTCTGATTACACCAGCAGCCTCAGCTGAATCGTCTGGAGTTTGTGGGTTTTCTCAAGTCACGTTTCCAGTGCTTCAGGAAACAGATTTTTCTTTGGCCTCCCAAAAGCTGGATTTCATTCATTAAATTCTTTTTCCTCCTTTCCAGTTTTCACCACCAGCCATTAAACCAGTCTTTACGTAATACAGGTTGAAGACAATTTTCCTCTCCTAGTTCAGAAACTTTTCTCAGTGTATTTTCTTACACTTTTTGTTCGTGTGGCACTGCAACACATTTGTATGTATTTGTGGAAAACGTTTTGCTAATCTGTGTATAATTGTGCTTTAAAACTTAATATTACTTTTAAAATATGGAGATATATGCATAAGTTGAAACAATACAGATTTCAGTAGGAATATACCACTGTAACTAGATTTGCATGTTCTTTAACAGATTTCAGAAACAGGATGATTTTTTCAGTTTAGTTGTGGAATCTGTAAATGCTACAGACATTATGGGACCAATCCACAGCAGCCTTGCCAGAAAAATAACTGTGGATTTTGTCTATTTCCTGAACGATTATCTTCAACATGGCTGCATTTCGAGACTGGCTGCTTTACTCTCTTACTCAGCAAAATATGACTGTTCTGATTTGGACCGGACCCCTCTGGGGTCGTTAGATTTAAACCAGTGTCTTCATAATAGCTGGAGAGGTGCAGAGGGCCTTACTTCCCAGTCCAGGAGAGCCTTCTGCTGCCTGGAGATGTGGAAGCGGCACTGGGCTGCAGATGCCCAGATTCGGGTTGGATTTCAGCGACGTTTTGTCTCCAATGCAACAGCACTGAAATATTGGGAAATGTCTGGTAAATGTTGCAGAAAAACCACTCACAAAATAAAAAAAAAAATAAAAAAAAATCTGTTTTATGAGATTATTTGCCGCTCTGGGCCAAAATACCACAGGAGGAGGTTTTCATGCATTTCGGCTTATTGCTCAAAACCTCCCCTCTCCCCTGAAGAGCAGCAACAGCAACCCAACCGCTGGCACAACTTGGGCTTCCAGCGCGGCTCCAGCCCAGGGAGGGACGACATTTTAGGGTGCTTCGCCCTAAGGTGAAGGAACCCCAAACTCCCACCCTCCCAAGCCGCCACTTCCATTTTGTCCCTCGGGCACAACACACGGCGCGCAGCAGTGCCTCATTCCACCACATACGGCCCCCGGACCCTCGGAGCCCAGTCTCCCGGCGCCTCGGAGCCCCCCACCGCCCGGGGGAGCCCCCAAACACCCCGGGGAGCCCCCAGACACCCGGAGGAACCCCCCCACGCCTCGGGCCGCCGGGCCTTCCCCGGCGGGCGGCGCTAGGACCCGGCGAGCCGCGGGCGGTGGCGCCTGCGCGGCGGCGCTGGTGGCGCTGGGCGCCGCGGGGCTGCGCGGAGCGCTGCGGGCGGGGGCGGCCGCGGCCGCCGGGAGCTTCCCGTCAGCGCCCCGCCGGCCCTGGGCAGCGCTGCCCGGCCCCGATGAGGCCTCGGCGGGGCGAGTGAGCGAGGGGGGAGTCGCTGTGGGGAAGCTCCACCTGCGGCTGCGGCGAGCTCCCGGCTCTGCCCTGCCCTGCCCTGCCGTGCCCTGGGCGGCCCGGGGAGGGAGGATGTGGTGAGAGGATGGACGGCGCCGGCTGCCTCCGGGGCTCGCCATGGCCAGGGAGGACTCGGTGAGGTGCCTGCGCTGCCTGCTCTACGCCCTCAACCTCCTCTTCTGGGTGAGTGCGGGGCTGCGGGCCCTCGGGAGCCAGCCGCCAGCCAGGTTTGGGGTGAGCCTGGCGGGGCGGGGGTCCGGGCACCTGTGGTACCTGCACGGCTGTGGAAAGGGAAGGACGTTCCGCAGCCTGCTGCCTTCCTCGCCGCCTCGGCTGCGGAGCATCCCGGACCCAGCCCAAACTCCGAGCTCCCACAGGTGTCCGAGCGCTGGGCTTCCCCCAGCTCATCTCGGGGACCGCATCCTGGCCGCCAGGCGAGGCCTGCGGTGGTTTATGGTCTGTGCCGGCTGCTGTCGGCGTCTCGGGCAGTGCTGGGACCGAGCAGAGTTTATGCTCAACTAAAGACCAAGTCCCGTGATTACTGAAAGTTAAGTGGAGATCAGAATATGAATGAGACAGAACTGTTAAACAGCATTTGGGACAAGAAGATACTTTTCTTGCGTAATGCAAACAATCTGAGGTTCTGATGAAAGTATGTAGCTTTTATGTTGTGTTTGACAGATGAAAAGTAAGTATTTAATTTCTGCAGTATGGTAGGACTAACGTCCTTTAATAAGAGACGAGGACATCCTTCAATTTTTTTAAAGGATGTGTAATTATTTAAAACATCGTATGTGATTTTCATTGGGTATTGTACGAAATCCCCAAACTTGGATTTTGTTTTGATTAAGGCAGAGGTTGCCTTGGGTTTAACTGATCTGGGTTCAACTTCATATTTTTAGGCAGGTATTGCTAGAGTTGAGAGAACAGACACCCACATGGCTGAAAACATCCTGTCCTGTTTGCGTACTCACTGCTATCCTCTGGGTTTATGATTCCTGCCTTGAGCTGTCCTCATCAGTTTCCATTCATGCCTCGGCTCACCACCTAAAGAAGCTTGTTCCCTTAAGCTTGTTCTGCTGTTCTCCCTTTCCCCCCATTCTCAGTGCTTGCCACGTTTTGTCAAATGTATTACTCAGCCTTTTAAGCTGAAGCTGCCATTTAGGTGCTACCTAGGTTGTACATGAGTTATGCCCCCGCACTGTGTCAGTTGACCCGTTCTGTGGCAGTGAGGGCCTTGGTGCTGGAGCTGAGTGATTCATTCCTCTTCCTGAGCAACTTTCCTTCTGTAGGAAGTTTGCTCCTTACCTTTGGAGGGAACTTGGTGCTGCTACGTTGTGTCGCAGTTCCTCTCTAGGGAGATCGAGGCTTGTTGCACGTTATAAATTTAAGGAGGCTGAGGCAGGATAAGCAAAGAGGCAGTAGGCAGTGAACAGGTGCAAAGAGGAAAACACACCAGAAACAGGTAGAGGTGGAGGTGGGAGATGCATGTAAATGTATTTGTCTGGGAGGGTGTATGTTGTCTCGCTTTGGACGTTTAAATGTTTGCCCTCGTTGCTTGAATTTAAGTTCCTTTCCATGTCAGGTTGCTCCTTCCAACTTTTCATTGATATATATATATATTTTTTTTCTGTTGCGGACCGAAGGCACGGAGCTACAGAACACCTCTGAGCTTGACGGTGGAGTAACAGTAACTACATCAGTAATGTGCTGCTGTTAACTTTGTCCATTCACAATTCATTTTGTCAAGATTTTGTTTAAAGCATTCATGGCTAGAAACTATTTCTCATTCTTTAGATTTTTTTTCAACCTTTTGAATAGTAGTGTCTCAGATCACCCCTAACTAGGAAGTGTGATTTTTTTTTTCCATAATCATAGAGAAATGGCGATCTTTTCAGTCAGATCTTTTAGTAGTATCCCAAGAAGTCCTAGGGAAGAAAATGGTAACTTTGCATGCTCGTGTTCAGAACAAGAATATGAAAAATGTCTGTACTTAATCTTCCTAGCTGAGGGCAGGGCACTGGAAATTACACCCAAGCAGCTAAGTGAAATCTATGTAATGCCAAAGCATGCAAATATGTAATTAGATAATAAATGCCAGTATCAGCAGATAACTTGCACCACAGATGTTGTAAAGAATAAAGCTGTCTTCCGTAATGTGCATGAAATTAAAGGTGTTACAAGTAAAATGAAAAATTGGCCAATCTGCTTGGAGGTGATTCTTTGCATCTTTGAAAGCAGATGGGTGCAACCGTTTGGCTCAGAATAAAGCAAACAAACAAAATGAGTGTGCCAGAACTGTGTAGTAAGAAATAGGATGAATGGTAGGTGGGAAGTATTACAGTTAAATCAGGTTCTTTGGAGGAGTGTGCGTGTTAGAAACCTCTTTCTGCTTCCTATCTGCTCCTGTTCAGATTTGTATTTAACAAATCTGCTACTTGTTGCTTATTGTAGTGAAATGTCCCATGTCTCCTTCTCTACCCAAGTTGGATTTTCTCCAGCTGAGGTCAGTGAGAGTGTTACCAGTGACTTTCCTGGGTGTATGAGCATGACCCCGCTGGCCAAAATTGCCTTGTGGAAAAGCTCCCCTGGCAGCAGGTACTCGCTCGCCAGCATGGGGCTGAGGGCTCTGTTTTCCCCTCGCCATCACTCTTCCTTCCATTTGGAAAGCTTTAGCTTGTCTGTTGCTTATGTTAGCACTTACTTTGATAAATACCAGCTCAGATTATGGACTGGATGGCAGGAAGTTTAGATTAGATCGGCCCCTGGAAATGTGCAGCCACATTCCTCTGAAGCTGCGAGTATGGTAGGCTCTGCCTTAACAGATAAACACAACGGCAGCATGCTTGAAATAGATGAGAGCAGAGCATGATTCTGGGATGTGAAGGGACCTCACTGTTCGGGGAGCATGTGTGTTACTCTCTCCAAGCCTGTTCTGGGAGGGTTTTGCAGTTCTTCTTGCTTCATTCCTTCCAAGGGGATGTTGCCTCTAAACACCTTCAAGGCTGTCATTAGCGTGTCAGTTATCAGTCTCCAGCTGAAAACACTGAAGATATCCAAACAGCACAGTTGACTTTTTAAAATCATGGCTTAATTCGGGGGCTTAACCAGGATGCAGTGATAACCTCTCCTTGTTTCGTTCTGGTGCTGTCCCGTGGTCGGTCCAGCAGTGCCTTGTGCAGAGAGGATTGGTTTCTCCTCCAGGTTGGAAGAAGAGACCCTCAGCTCTGCTGACCTCCAACATTTGAAGCCCTGACCAAAACTGAGAGAGCCTGTGGCCTGCCTGGTGCAGGCTGATTTTCCCTCTGGAAGGAGGGAACGCTTAAAGTAATTTTCAAGCATGTCTCTGTGTGCAACCGTTGCAGCACGTGTGTATGGGGATTGCAGCTCTTGTCATTGCCAGCCTGATAAGGGCACACTAGTGCATGTGAAGCCTCTTCAGAAAGTGTTATGCATCACATACAACAAGCTGATGTCTTCATAATTGGGTTATTGTTTGAGCCTAGAAGCAGAGAAGTGGGAGAACTTCATCAGTCACTGTGCTGTGATACTTGAAGCTTTCCCAGAGTGTTTCTTGTATGTGTACAACTGCACGCTTTGTATTTGGGAAGAGAAGCTTCTTTTACTGGGCTGAGCTAATGAGCTGTGATGGGGAGCAGTCGACAGGGTGATGCACATGTGTGCGAGAGGAAGGAAAGGGGTGTTGTCCAGTACCCTTTTTGTCATTTTTGGCCCAAAGGCTCTTTAGCTGTAAATAATAAATAAACATTCAACTGGAAAAAAAAAAAAAGTCTGTCTTCTAAGAGTTCATCCAGTTTTGATAACGGACAAGTGAGTTTACTGCCCTTACTGCTTCTGAGGTATCCAGGCTTTGTGGGAGTCGATGGATTGGTAATTCCAAAGCTGCTACTTGCAGAAGGCAATTTCTTCTGAGGTGGGAATAAATAGGTTGTCAGTGCTCTAATTATTGTTGATTAAGTGACTGAATGTGGTAATAGATCTGATGATCCTTCTGGAAGCTGTTTCTAAGGTCAATTGAATTGTGCAGCTGACTACAAGATATCTTTTTCAGAGTAACGGGAGTTGCAGTTTTAGGAGCTTCTCTTCCTTCTGGGTTCATAAGGCTTTTTTTGACAGTGCCCTGGACAAGGAGTATCTTTCAGAGTGAAGTCTGCATTTAACATTTGGTATGATTTCTTCTGTCATCCACATGTTTAAATAAGCATCACTTCTTAAAGGAATTCAGACTGAGAGACCCAGCTGGATTTCTGCAGATGTCCCATGTTAGGCTTTGCAACACTGCTATTTGCAGCGTATTGCTTTCTGGACAGCCTGATAAGAAGAGAGGACCTCCAAAAATGCATAATTTGGCATTTTTTAGTCAAGCCTTAGTGATCAACCAAGCAGATTATCTTAGTAGTGCGACACGCTCCTACTGCGTCCTGATTTTCTGGCTTTAGAGGCAATACCAGTCTTTATCTCTGCATAGAACGGGTGTCAGTAGCTGGAGAGATTTAGTTTTGATAGTTCTACAGATACTTTATGCAGTATATGAGACTGCAGGGTCTTTGCTTCTGGTGGGGCTTTTCTCTATTGGTGAGCTCCTGATGTCCAGCGTAGCAGCAGTCTTGGGTTTAATAGGAGCATCCTTGTCTGTTTTGACATAAAGCCTCCTTGACACATTTTGCAATATTGCAATTATTCTCCTGTGCTTTGCTGCAGCCTTTTGCCCTTAAACTTTCTTTGCAGTTGTGTAAAGTGGAGAGACCTTAGCTTGGTATTACAGGCAGGCTTCAGTCATGGAGCATGGCAAGCCTGTATTAATGGCACAGGCATAACGCAGCAGGCTGTCCGAGGGCAGTGGCCCTTACGGTTGTGTTAGGAGAGGAAATAGAAAACAGTGCTGAGTGCAGGAAAAATTCAGTGTCCTGACTGCTTATAATAAGAGAGGATTAAGCGAAGCAACTGCTCTGAGAGGCATGGACCTGTTTTACTTCTGGCAGCTCAGCCGTGCATTCCTTTTAAAAAATTACAAATAGCCAAAATCGGTGAACTGAGCAATGCTACTAAATATGAGTAACAGCAGCACAATTATTCTGTCAATTTTCTCTTTTTTCTTTTCTTTTTTTATTTTTATTTTTTTTAAAGCAAAATACAGCTGACATTCAGGAAAAAAGTCTGTATAGACTTTCTTTGTCTTGACAAAACTGCCAGCTTGTTTTTTTTCTTTTTCCCCCGCTCTGATGAGCATGTGTGGAAAACAGAAAGGAGGAGCAGCTGCTGTTGTGTCCCTTACAACAGAGAATGACCATGCCGTAGTGGCTTGGGCAAATCATGGCTGTAAGTCACAGATGGCTGTGTCTTAGGTGGTGAACGTATCTTACAGGATGATTCAGTATCACTGGATGTTCAAGCAGTCAGAGATGTTGCCACATCCTTCACCTCGTGGGGTTTATCTGCCTGGGGTTATGTTGTTTCTGTTGAATGATGCCTGTGCTTTCCTTCGCCGCAGCTCTTAGCATGTAGCAGCACCATCTAATCAGGCCGTGTGATTGCAGCCAATAAGCCCTCCTTGCAGACTCTGTAAATTGTTTTGCCTCTATCTTGAATTTGTGCTTGTGAACAAGAAATCAGGGAAAATGAAAGCGGAGCAAGCTTCCAGTCAGTTTTCCCTTTGTTATGAATATATTGAACACTTGTACCGTCTAGGTTTGGTTATGTGTTCCACCTGAGAAAATACAGCGAGGGAATATTCGCCTTGCACAAAGAAGCCCTAAGAATGATTGGAAGCAGCAGTATTGAGTTTCTTTCTTTTTCCAACCTCAAGTATATCCTTCTTCCAACCCCAAATGTATGTGTTCAATCTTGTAATTACTTTTACCTAATTTTTTTACATCTGCTGTAACACAACGAAGAAATCAGTTATCCTCCCTTCCTTGGAACCGGAGTCTGAGTAGCAGTTGTGTTTCTGCTGCCATCCAATTTCCACTCATGCCAGTGGCATTTGAAGATACTTGGAGTGAATAGAGTCAGGGTCAAATTCTTAAAGAATGTAAGTGACTAATAATATCCATAGAAACGAGCACTGCCTGGCTGGCTACCTGTAGCAGTGTAAGTGTGGGGTTCGTGCTAGGCTAATGCAGTCTGTTTTTAGAGACTGCACTGTAGACGTTGGTAACTGAAACCTGATTTTCTTAGCATTCTTGTGTAAAGAATAAGCTGTCTTTGAAGCCATGCAAGAATAACTCTAGCTTCTGTCAGAATATGGTGTCTTTTAATGGTGCTCAGCAGAGCAAGCTGCAGGAGGAATTTTAAAGGACCAGAAATACTTTTAAGACTGGTCTTTGAGAAAACTTTTTGGTGGCTTTGGGCTGCGTTATTTATATAACATCATTACATTCAGGGAGTGCACAAAAGCCTGCCTCAGAGTCGAGGTTCTTTTTAAGCTGCTGTACAGATATAATTCAGAGGAGAGTCAAGTGCTATCTCTGGGGACATGGACATCTAGAAAGGCCACTAACAACTTTGAAGAGATAAATATATAGAGAGATAATTATTTAATCTACTTTTTTTTTCCCTTTTTTTCTTTTTTTCTTTTTTTTTTTTTTCTCAGCTACCATCTTAGCCTTTCTGTCTGGGGAAAAGGCTGTAAGGAACGTGTCTGAAGCAGGGTATAGTAAAGTGGGTGAGTGAGTGAAAGGTAAGGAATGCAGAGAGGGGAGATATATTTTGGTGGTCCAAGCAGGTTTCTGAAGGCCATAAATCATAACAAAGCAAAGCAGAGTTCAGCTATTAGTCAACTTTGTATCTACCTCTGCATAACCTTTCACCATACATGTCTTCATAGCTGATGAGGCTCGTTCCTCCTGGTGCGTTGACAGTAAATTGGCAAAGCAGTCTCAACAATACAGTCCTGAAAAAGAGAGCGGCTTGATGTGATGGCGGAAAGGAAAAAATAAACACAAACTTCACCCTAATGTTAGAAATGACATTAATATGTTTCTTAGCTGGCATTCAGGAGTTAATGAAACCACATCCATTTGGGGGAAATCCTCAGCCTTAATTGTGTGGAACTCATTGTATTTACCTTGAGGATGAAGACACAAAACCATGCTGTCTAAAACTGAGTCAGTAGCTAAGGGAAAGAAAATGCTTCAAACCAGATGCTCCACCTGACTTGCAGGTACTTGCATTTAATTAATTGTACTGAAACCTGTTTGCATATTTGGGTTCTTACTCCACAGTTCTTTATGCTGCAGTGCTGTAGGATCATTGTACAGTCAGTTGCTGGAAAACTTGCTTGGTTTCCTTGGGAGAGTGACCCGTT